AAAGACACAAAATAGCCAAAGTTAAGCGATGAAGTGTGTGCTGAATGTGGGTCCTTGGACAGGATCCCTTTATTAAACTTCTCCCATCCAAGGCTCAGGGACCATCACAGAAGAGGGGGCAGAAAGATTGTAAGGGCCAGGGAGGATGTACATGACCACATGGAAATAGAGTCTTACAAGCTCCCGGGAACCTGCTCATACGATTCTATGGCAATGGTGTCGGCATTCACAAGTCCCATGCAAACTCAAGCCGACAATAATCCAGCATAGAACTGAGAAAATAAACAGCAGACCTCAGTCTTATCTGAAGGAATGTTGGCAACTGATTGCTGCTAGATGAAGAAGAGCTGATCTTCCTAAAACAAGGGACTCTAGATAGACTGATTAGACTTCATGGACAGATTTGTATTGGGGAACGGCTGGGGACACTGACAAGCCAGTGGGCCTTAACAGGGATGACCAAGTATATGGGCTCTGGGGTGGGGTATGGGAGGGTGCCAGTTGGGATGGGGGTGTAAAGATGATTAAGATTATTTGAGCTGTTCTGTATGAAATACACACACACACACACACACACACACACACACACACACACAGTTAAAAAAAAAAAAAAAGAAATGTGAAACACTGAGAAATTGTTTCTCCCGGCCAAAGAGTTGTAGAGCAACAAGTGTGTGTTGGGTCCCTCAAGATTCTAAATCATCACTATAGCCCATGTGATGAGGCAAATGTCCTTCAGCTGATCTTTTGAGTCTAAATTCTTTCACACTGCATACTGATTATAAGATTAAGCCATGTTATAACATTTATTATTTATTCTTTCCCATGGTCGAATAATATCCTATTATGTGGATATACCACATTGTCTTTATTCTTTCCTCAATGAGACCGACCTTTGGTTGCTTTCAGGTTTTTTTTCTTATTATTATGAACTACTATAAACTTTGTGTGGCCGTCTTTCCAGTTCTGTTGGGTATATACATGAGTAGAACTGATGTGTCATATAATGCTTTTTAATCTTTTGAGGAACTGCCTCATTTTTCTACAGCAGTACATCATTCTATATTCCCACCACAAACATATGAAGGTTCTTGTGAATATGAATGTGTTTGATATTTATACCCCAGTTTCTGACACACAGCTCCTAAAAATTTGCATCTCCAGAGTAGTAGGTGTATATCTGAAGGCTAGTTGGGTGACTAGGGCTATGTTTGCTACAAAGACCAAAGCAAAATCATGATGGGAACTTTCATTTCTTTTCTTGGGGAAAAGGGGCTAAAAGTTAGTGGATTACCAATGGCCAAAGTTGTAATTAATCTTGTTTATGTAATAAAGACTCCATAAAACCTCACTGCAATGAATGAGCTTCTGTTTTTGTTTGCTTGTTAGTTTTCTCCAATAGGCTGACTTCAAATTCACCATCCTCTTGAGCACTGGGATTATAGGCCTTCAGCACCACACCTGGTGTGAAGGAGCTCCTGAACTGCTCAGAGGACTGGGAGCCTGGGAACAGCTCCCTTCCTCACAGGCTGTTCTATGCACCTCTGCCACCTAGATGCTTTATACATCTTTTGTAATATTCTTTATAATAAATGGATAAAGGTGAGTAAAATATTTGCTTTCACTTTGTCATCAGATTTAGCAAATTAGCTGAACCTGAAGAAGGGGTATAGGAATCCTGATTTATAGCCAGTAGATCAGAATCCGTCACAGATCATAAGCTGAGGCTTTTGATTAGAACCTGTAGAGCAGAGGGGCAGTTTTGTGGGATAAGCCTTTAACTTTGGGAATTGATGCTATTTCTAGGTAGATATTGTCAGACTTGAAATAATTATGGGATCCTCAGTTGTTGATTGTATAGGGAAACAACTCCCAGGTATCTGATGTCAGAAGAGTTGGTTGAGTGTTGTATCAAACAAGTGTGGTCATGAAAACACATTTGCCTTTTTCTTTCACTTTTATATTTCCATTTTCTCCACATTTGCAGTCTTTTCCAATAAGGCATGGTTTTGACTTGCATTTATCTAAAAACTAGTGCTTAATATCCTTATGTATGTTTATTAATCATTTTTATATCTTGCATACATATTAAAATTCTTTGCCCATTTAAAATTGAGCTTTCTTATTAGTGAGCTGCAAAAGTGCTTTACATGTCCTTGACATACGTTTATAGTGAACATGATTTACAAGTGTTTCTACTACTCTGTGCACTTTCACTTTTTTTCAAAGTACAGGTAGAAGAGAAGTTTGTATTTTGATAAAGTTCAATTTACCTGGCTTTCTCTTTGTCCCTTGAAAGCATAGTGTCCTGTTTAAGAAACGATCACCTAACCCAAGATCAGAGAGGTTACTTCCATTTATGCTCCAAGTTTAAGGATTATGGCTTTTACTTTAATTAAGGCCTCTGACCATTGAGTGTACTTTTTTGTGTGATGTGAAGTAGGAGTTCACTTCCTGTGGACTAAGCAAGTGACTACTGTTTACCACTGATTTAATTTGACATCTTCACCAAGCACTAATAGTGAATGTGGTATTTTATTTCTTAATTCTCAGTTTTATTCACTGATCCACAGTCCTCATTATGTTACCTTGCTCTAAATTTAAAGATCAGGAGTGTGAGATTTTACTTCTTTTGAAATTGTCTTTGCTATCCAAATACAAAAAAATTTCATCACCCCCAAATAAATATTGCTCCCTTGTTACATGACTCCCACTTTTTCTCTCCTCCCAGATCTTGAGAAGTAGTAATCCATTTCTTTATGGATCTGTTTGTTCCTGGAATTTTATATGTTCTAGAACCATATAGTCATGATCTTTTGAGCTTGAACCACTGATATTTGATGGTTAATACATTCATAAAAACAATAAACATAGTCCTAGGATTCAGGATCTTTGGCTTTGAGTATGCATTTTTTATTCTAAATGAGCCACTCCTACTCTGATCACCTCATTTCTATGTGGGTTCCACCTCTGTCATTTCTTCCTTGATCTTGAAGACACAGCATTTCAATGAGACCTTGAAATGTTTTTGATCAACTCCTTTGGTGAATATCTTTGTTACATTAGTTATATAGAAATTACTTAGTGATGTGAGTTTCTGAGAAAAAACTATGAAGCTAAGCATGCCATCCAGATTCTGGAATTTTATGGTGTTTGATACGCTATCATATATCGCAAACCTTGGTCTACATGGGAATTTAAAATTACTATACAAGGAATTCAACTTCTCCTGCCTTAGGAGAGCAAAAGAATTGTGGCAAAAAGGATATATCTTGAGGGAAACTGCTGAAGGAAGGGCAGTAAAGAAAACTAAAAGTGGGTGTCAGGTAAATAGAAAGCAAATCCAAAGGAACCATTTCGTTGAATACAAACTGAGTGCTAAGCAAACGGGGATATGATTCACACAAGAGCTTGAAAGGGAAGGAGGAAAGCAAGGGAGTGGAAGAAAGGAAGTCTCATTCTTTGCTTCCTTGGGTGATAAGGATCTTTTAACATAAACTTCTTCCACTAAAGTAAAATAAAACCTTATTTGAGGACCATTTATTGCTCAAGTGCAAAAAGAGAAGTATTTATGAAAAGACTTGTAAATGTCAGAAAAATCCTTTCTACCCCTCTCCCCTCCTCTCCTATGGCAGGGCTAGGGACTGAACACCAGACTTCAAGCATGCCAGGCAAGTACTCTACCACTGAGCTATACTGCATCAGCCCTGAAGTTGTAAGGGTCACTTTCTATTAGACTAGTGACAACTATTCTTTTGGATCATCTGTTTTCAATCTATAAGATCCTAAGGAAGGAAAATTGATTAGGTAGTTCTTAAAACATCCTTTAGCCCTAATTCCTAAGATTGTATATAAACTTAGCTAAATAAAACTTATTAAGAGATGAATACTATACACTACATAAAAAATATTAGTATAAGAGGCTGGAGAGATGGCTCAGTGGCTAAGAGCACTTACTGCTCTTCCAGATATCAACTCAATCAGAAAAATTTCAGAAATACAATTCATATGTCTATTTAAAGATGATCTATCCAAAATTAGATGGCAATTATGGTGGTGCACACCCTTCTGGGAGGCAGGGGTACTGAAGCAACAGGGTCGAGTTTGAGGCCAAAGAGGACTATACTGTGAGACTCGATCTAAAAAGAATTGGAAAAAAATAAGTACAAATGTATGCCATCTTCTAGGTGGGAAATACTCAAATTAGAACATTTTCAAAGCTGTCACATTTACTGCAGAACAGTAGGAATTTATGTTTTGAAAGACTAAGACTATGACACCTGGAATCCAGACCAGAACGCAGAGGACAACACTTGTTCATTTGTATTTCTGTGACTTTTCTCACTTGGTATTATTTGCAACTGTGCTTTTATGTCTCGCAGCAGACTTTTGTATAAATTATGTATTATTTTTATCATGATGATTACATATGTTCATCAGTTTAGTTGTCCATATACACGCTTGGTGTGGTTTGCAAATATTTGGTGACAAAATCCAGAGTCCAGCATTCTCGCAGAAAGTGTTTACTGTGAAATTTCTCCTTAGAATTTTGCTTTTCTTTACAGCTTTGATCTGTATGACATACAGAGGCTTAGATTTCAAATAATGGCTTATTCTTAAATTAAGAAAATGCTTCACGTTGATACAACATGACTACAGTAGAATGCAGCCATTCTAGAAAGGACCTCATTTTCTTATGTGATTACAGATTTGGTCAAATTTGACGACTGCTAAAATTTTCCAAACTGTGTTTCTTCAGTTTTATAGTGACTTGGTACTTACATTCTGTTATTCATCAACACTTCACAGAAATACTTGATTTGTCTGAATGAATTTAAAAAACCCACAACTGAAGAAAATTAGAAAAACCTGGTTTTAAATATCAAAAGATCCCCAGTGAAAAGTATTTCTTGAGGCCACACTAAGCAAGTTTTATTGATCACTATACTTCTCTGCAGAATGAAATTGCTGCAAGATTGAACATAAGAAAATAAACTTACTGGTAAATATCTTTCCTGAGGACAGATCTGCCAAGTGGATTGTCAGCCTGGGGAGCCATGGCAACAGAACCAACCTTCAAAACCATGGTGTCTTCCTTTGCTGCCTGATTAACTGTAATGAAAGAAAGTATAATGAATACATGTGGATTTGTGTGTTATCTTTAGGCATAAGGGGAAATATTTTAGAAGACCAATAAACGAGGAAAGAAAAAGCAAAAAGCTATGTTTAGAAAAAGAATAGTTCTTTGTTAAAGCCCATTTCCTTCAAGTCCTAATATGTGTTCTTGTGTTACATACAATTAATATAGCAATAAAAAATAAACTGCATCTTTGGTTTATCAGTATATGATATTCATAGTATTCATAATACTGAATCCATATGATTATCTAATTCCACAAATACTACTGCTTATTTCTTGTAACTTTCAGTTCTACATTTTTAACACTCCACTGTTGTCTACAAAGATATTAAATAATATCAACAAAGTCAGCAACAAATTCTCAAAGTCATTTAAAATTAGATGAATAAAACTAATTACAAAGCCCATACTCTCACAGTATAGCACTTCAGCTCTAAAATGTCAGAAAATTAAAGAGAAATACGATGGCTGCAATGTTAAGGATGCAAAGGGTGACTAATTTGAGTGAGAGAACATTTCAGCTTGTCTTCTGAGGCCTTTAATTGTAATAACCAGAACTGTGAGAGGGTTTAATAAACAGAAACTTCACTTCTAGATAATGGTTTTCCTTTTGGTGAAGTAAAAAAGAACACTATAAAAGAAACAAAGAAAGAAGCAGTAGAAAGGTTAAAAAGATACATGAGTTCTAATTGTTTTCTTTGCATTAAACTATATTTAATTCTATGCTCTTATAAAGTTAACACTTTCTCTACAACTCATTAGCTAGTTCAATGTCATTCCTAAGGACTATTTGGAATTGGAGGTTGTTTTTATGGCCCTATTGAATATTTCCAACACTAAATAAACTATAATAGCTAATTACATGTTATTTAAACATTTTTCAATAATCTACAACTTTCTGAGCTTCAAATTAAAATCTGTAATGTGGGTAAGGCTGGTGGTGTAGCTCAGTGGTTGAATGCTGGCCTATCTTGTATGAGGTTATGCCTAAGAATTCCAGCACTACTAGTGTGTGTGTGTGTGTGTGTGTGTGTGTGTGTGTGTGTGTGTGTGTCAGAGAGAGAGACACACACAGAGAGAGAGAGAATACAAAAGTAATAGAAATGAAAAAAAGAAGAAAAAAAAACCTTCGTAATGTCTCTCGAGGAACTACAATCTGCCACCAATAGAAGAGCAAAGAGGCTGCGCAAGCTCCAGAACACCCTGAGCAGAGCATGCCTACAAGGGCATACAATCCATATTTCTGAAACTGAACTGTCCAAAGAATGCGAAAGCTAGGAGATTATTTCCAGCTGCTTCGGCAACACACTTGGTATGGTCTGACTTAGATTAGTAAGAATAAAGAAAGTTACAATTGAGAAAATCAGAAAAAAATATTCAGTGAGAGAAAAAAAGATGACCATAAAGGGAGAGGAAGGTACAGTGGTTGGGAGGTGGGAAGAGGGCAGCCAACAAAAGGGAAAAAAGGGGATGAACTATCATAATAAATATTAGCATGTGGACATCATAGTAAACACAGCACTTTTAAAAGTCCATCACAAAAAAGATCAAACAGAAAACTACTCCTCATACAGCTGCACTATTTTCAAATGACAAGAGGTCTGGCTTGATTATAGATTCTTATACTATGAACACTGTTTACATTTCACAGATCTTACTCTTTATGCCAAGCTTAATAGTTCCATGTGGGTAAAACCTCTGATTAAGCAGCAGGCATCAATTAAATCAATAAATAGTAAGCCTCGAGAATAGACTACAAAAGTACAATTAGTAGACTTCTTAACTGTTTTCCAGGCTACAGATACTACCCACCATATGAAAGTCTCAACTACAATAGAAACACTGCAGTAAATGGGGTACATGTGGAAGAAAAATAACATACTTGGTGTTACATAAAAAGCCAAATCCAAGAATGGAATTCTGAGCCTGTTAGAGCCAAGAGTACTCTCAGCATATTATCCTATGAAGTCACAGCAAAATATATACATAAGTACTTACTGACAAGCATTCATAAACCAGATTAAAATAATTTACAGAAAGTATTCCATTTATCAAAATACTTCATTCATATATAGTAAAAATAATGAAAATATGTAGTTATATAAGAAAGTACCTTGAGTCATTTCTTCAGTTACTTTCTAAGAATTGGAAAAGCAAGCTTCTCTTTCTGGGATTATTTTATCTGCATTTAATAGTTGGGCCATATAACGAAATATTTTCTCTTAAAGCACTGACAACATAAAAATGAATGCCTTCCTTCTTTGCTTTAACAGTGTTTTTACTTTTTTATATTTTATTTATTTATTTTTGTTGTCGTCGTTTTTGAGACAGGGTCTCCCTGTAGCCCCAGCTATCCTGGAACTCCCTGTGTAGACCAGGCTGGCCTTGAACTCACAGAAATCCACCTGCCTCTGCCTCCCAAGTGCTGGGATTAAAGGCGTGCGCCACTATGCCTGGCTTATTATTTTTATTTTATGTGCATGTATGTAAGTGCAACTGTGTCATGCAGTGCCTATGGAGGTCAGAAGAGGTGTTGAATTCTCTGTAATAGGAGTTACAGGAGGTTACTAGTCACCATGTGGGTGCCGAGATTTGAACCCAGGTCCTGTTGCAAGAGCAGCCAGTTGCTCTTAAATGCTGAGCCATTTCTCTAGCCTCTAATTGTGTCTTTAAAAAGTGAGTCTCATGAAGAACTACTCACCCTACAAGACACATACTAGATCCAAAAAAATAGTTCTCTGTACTGAAATAAAAAGCTTACACGATAAGTGAAACACCTGTAGATTTAGACTCTTGATAATGATTGCACATAAAGCAACAGAAACAAAGGAGCAATTCACAATGAAAATGTACTCTGCTCACAGACATCAAAGGCTTTGAGAATCATTCAGAGTATATCACTTAGAATACTGAAAGACAACTGAGCAAATTTTGACAAGTTAGATGACTACATTTAGGAACATGTGTGAATCAGTAAGGTATGTCTGAATCAGAAAGACTTACCAGTAAAATAACTCTCTCTCTCTCTCTCTCTCTCTCTCTCTCTCTCTCTCTCTCTCTCTCTCTCACACACACACACACACACACACACACACACACACACAAGACAGAATCTCACTATATAGTCATGGCTGGTTGGAACTTACTATGCAGACCAGGATGGCCTCAAGCTCTACTGTCTCTGCTTCCTGAGTTCTGGAATTACAGGCATATGCCAACACAACTCTGCTTGCACACATGTATCAGTTTATAATAGTTCATTCAGAAACAACCAACTTGCTGACACTGTTACATATTGGTACAGTTTTGGTACAGTTTTAAACTTAATAAATTAATGATAGAAGCTCATATATTTAGCCTTTAAAATTTTATACATGTAACCAACAATGATTTATACCGTGTGAAATGGATGCCAAGAAATAAGTAGATAAGAGAGCTAGGAGTGGAGCTCAGTGGTAATATATGTGCATGAGGTCACAGGTTCAATCCTCAGCACTAAAAATATGAAACAGTAAAGCAAAACAGAAGACAAGAAAATGGAAGAAACCCAAAGAAAAAATATTGTAATTCATATATTATGAGAAAGACTCATTTTAGGGCCAACTAACATGCAAAAGCCAATTATTTAAAATGAGACTCCTTTGTAAACCAGACACATTTCTGTTGTTACAGAGGCCCCACATCAACTAATCTGCTTTGCCTCCTTTTGCTTTCTATGCCTCTCACTACTTTCTCTGTGTTTTTTCAGGGCATAACCTCCCCATGTTTATTTTTCCCTCATTTCAACCTCTCACCTCCACTATCACTTTTTATCTTACGTTTCAATGAAATTTTGTCCTTACTGATTATTTATATTCACCTGAAATAAGATAGTTATGGAATATAGAACTTAAAACACACTATGTAAGGAATCTTCAGGCAGTAAAAGAGCTTACTAACATGTCTCATTTAAATGAAGAAGGCCAGCTCAGTGTAAGGCATTTGCTACCAAATCTGATGACCTGAGTTTGATCCCTAGTAGCCACATGGTAGAAGGAGAGAAACAACTCCCATAAAGTCCACCATGACATGCATTCTTCCCCCGATAAATGAATAAATGTAATTTAGAATTTTAAAAATGAAAGATGGCGTGATAGTCTAAGTGATCTTTTATGTCAGTTATCTCTTCCATGACCACAAGAAAGCGTTATTCTAATTGCACATTGTGGTCCTGAGAGAATTATCTTGTATAAAAATGTAGGTTTCTTCTCTTAAGCTCTATAACTTTAATGCAAATTATTTATATAAATATTTATCAGCTATTCATACAATTAAAATATTAACTTGGGAAAATATAAAGATAATTATCTCTCCAACGAATACACAATTTTTATCTTTCAAGTTAGCAGGTAGTTGCACATCACTTGCTCAGAAGGGTTATTAACTGTTTTTTTACCTGTCATGTGGTTTATAAACTATGTGAACATATGAAAGCAACTGTACAGTATTGTGAGAATAAAGCATATTTGGAAAATAGTAACTTTAAATCACAAAGTGAGTAACATTAAGATAATCTCTAGTAAAAAAAAAAGCCATAAAAGTTAAAATGAGTACACATTAAGAATTGCTAAGGATAATGTACTAAATTTGGATCTAGATACTTTAGTAAGTCTATAAAGCTCTATAAATGCTTTTTAATTATAGAAATGAAAAGAAATTTTAGTAAGCCTCAGTAACTGGCACTATTTAGACAGAATACCTCTGTAATTATGATCATCTGTCCAGAGAAGACAGAGCAAGAGAGAGTAATAGATTCTGAGAGGAAAGAGTATGTAGCCAGGTGGTTTTCCTTTGATATTTATTATCACTGGCCATTCAAGGTCTTCTTCCTCTATATAATAATTAAAAGAACAAAAAAAGGCAGCTCACATATTTATGTTTCACAGACTATATCCTGTTCCTCAAATGTTCCTTTTTTTTTCTTCTCTCAAATTCACAGGACCCCAATGATTAGCAGGGTATTGCCTACATTTTGAAACGCATGTGTTTCTCCAGTGTTGGAACTAAAATCAAGGTGATGGTATTAAGAAGTGGGTCCCTTGGAAGAAGCAATTAGGTAATGAAGAGCTCCACCCTGCTCCACCCATTGAAGGTGTTTAGTGTCTGAGTCTGTCTGACCCTCTTTAGCTTTCTGCTCTTTTGCCATGTGAAGATTCAGGAATGAGGTACCAATCTAGAAGCTGAAAATGGCCCTCACCAAGCAGTCAATCAGCTAGCACTTTTATCTGGGACTTCTAAGCATCCAGACAGTGAATGATAAATTTCTATTATTTATTAATTTCCCAGTCTGAGATAAATTTTTAGAGCCACAGGAACAGACAAAATATGCCACAATAAAAGGTCACATTTCAGCCTCTTTTGCAGCTGAGCATGGCCATGTGGTTACAGTGGGCCAAAGAACTATTTCTGATAGCAAAATGTAAGATATGCAGAGTTCTAGAGTGAAAGAAAGGGTGCAACTTTCTCATGGTAAAAATTCCATTTGCTGAGAATTTACCACGGTATTAGAGCAATGCACAGTCTCATGGTGTCATCAGTTGAACGGGGCTAGCACATGAACACATCTCATGGTTTCCTTATGCTATTATGACAACCTACAATCAAATAAGGTCCTCGTGATTTCAAAAATCTTAAGTGACAAATATGGGACTGTAATTCAAGTCTGTATAATCTTGAAGCCCATGCCATTATGACTATACTGTATCTCTCAAAATTCTTAAAACTCTCTCCGTTTTATAGCATACAGAAACTAAAATGTTGAAACCACTCTTGTGGGAGGAAGGAGAATTATTAGAGCAAGGCACAGAACAAGTTCAGAAGGCACTGGGAAGCCTGGAGATAGCCACTTTGAAATATAGATGAATTTTCTTCCTAGCCTCAGTTATCAGGTAGATACATACACCAGAATTTGTATAAATCATTATGAATTTGTATAAGTCATTATGAACACTAGTTTGTTTTTGAATAAAATTTTACTTGGTTTGTACATTATGTGGAGCCCAGCATTTGAATTCCAGACAGAAAGTATAAGCTTTAGTGGCAAAAACTCTAGAAAACTTCAGATTTCTTATTCCACTAAACTAATAAATATTATAAGATATTTAGTATCCTAATATAGCTTCTACAGGTTTCATCATAGAATGAATGTAACATAGCAACTCTTTTAAAAATATACCAAAATGAAAGTAAAGCTTCTGCCCATGTTTAAACCAATAAAACTCAGAAAAATGAAGTTTCATGGAGAAAATTATTTAATCCAACCCTCCTATCCACCCCCACTCCCACCCCTCAGTTAGAAAACAGTACCTTCAACAGTTGGCTGTATCTCGTCTGATTTGGGAACAAAAATTCTGATTACACTTGTGTTTATATAAATCAAAGGTAAATTGCGTGAAGTTAATGTATGGGTCCTCATAGGCTGACCAGGAGATTTTCTTTTCTCTTTCTGGGTCCTTGGTAGTTTTGCTTGAAATATACTTGCAATGGCATTAAGTAAAGGAAAACATAAGACAATGTCAAATGCTTGTGCAGAAAGAAGAATTTCATGAAGAAAATGAGGAGAACCATCCATTAAACCTTCAGATAACTTATGAAAACTTCTTCTTTCATTTCTTGATGTTAACTTGTGACGGACATTTTTTGTTACAGCTTTAGTATATGTTAGAGAAAGAAATCCATGCTGCTGATGAGCGCCATCTAGAAGTTTTGTAGTTGTCTGTTCCAGAAAGGGAAAACACAATGTACATTTTATTTATTTTAAAAAGATCATATTTTAGCAAAGAAAATGAGTAATATTTTTATCTTTTTGTTTTGGTCATCTTATACTTCATTTTTATTAAATTTTTGTGTATTTCATCTACAACATGCTTCTGAAGTATGTGAGTGACCAATACTACAGGGGAAAAAGTTTCCTTGGCTATTAGAATGAATGATCTGAAAATTAGGAATTTCTCGAGAGCACTTTTTTTCTGACCCAATTAGCAGTACATAAAATTCTATTTTGAATATCAGTCAACATAAAAGTAGACTATAATAAGTATATTCTGTTCCCAACACCTCCCTTCCTAAGACCCAAAAAGGTTTTCTGTAGTTATTAGGGTACAGGATGTGAGGTTAAGAAAGGAATTCAACTAGGGAAGAAAAAGAAAGGAATACACTTATATAAATAGGAACAAAGGAAACCTAACAAGCAAGGACATTTCTGAGCCTGTGAGCCCCACACTCCTACATCTCCTTTCCTTCCACTTTCCTTCCCTCATGTTGATGTCTCTAACTAAATGATAGATGAAAGGGGAAAAGACATGTGTAATACAGATACTATTGCTTATCTCCCCTTTCTTGGTGGTATTAGGGATGGAACCTAAGGCCACACTATGTAAATGTTTCTGAGTAAAATGGCTAGCTATTCATTTTTCTTTTAAACTGGACTTTACAATGAAGTGACATGAGAAAAATGTAAATTTGTGTGTATTTTTAAAGTTAATTATTTGACTATGGGGGGCAGGGAAAGTAATCATTTAATGGTTGAGAAATATAGTCAATTTTCCCATAATAGTCTGTCCTTAGAATATTTTCACACTTTCCAGTTTTCTCTCTGCATCTATTATCTAGTTCTTCTTTCTTTTTGATTTTTACACTTGAAACAAAAAGAACCAAAGTAAAGCAAGAAAGTGGGTGAGCACTTTGATGATTATGCTGCTGGCCAGCAGGCAGAAACAGGTAGAAGGCCTGGGGCAACCCAGGGGAAGAGGCCAAAGATGCTATAATTTCTCAAGTGTCTAAAGTGTAATTTGAGAGTAGAGAAGGAGTCATCACTAATCCAATAATCCAATTCATAAAAAACTCTTATTTAGTCCTTGGAAATGGTATAAAAGCTATTTCAATGTACGAATGTTTGAAAATTTTTTGAAACATGTTGAATGCAAACTCTTGAAAGGTAAGCTACACAAGGGAGAAGCTTTCGTTTCTGAAACTGTTGTACTTCTGTGTGAAGGAGAAGAAACACATTCCACCAAAACTGAGGTCATATAAATATTTCTCTTTATATGGTAAAATGAGCATTTTATAACATTTAAAATGAATAATTATAAAACACTAACAATGAACACATTTTCATAGAAGTAACTTTTTCTGCTGGGGGTAATGCTGGAGACTGAACCAAGGCCATACTCATTCAGCATGCAGTCTCTCACTGAGCTCAATTTCTATTCTAGCTTTTAAAATTAACTTTTATAAATTTAGAAAAAAATAAATGATAGTAAAAATTTTAAAGGAATTGAAAATAAATTTTGTGGATTTTTCTGAAAACATCTTAAATTATTAAGAATGCTTCTTGGGGCTCAGTGGCTAATGGCACTTGCTGCATAAGAATGTTTCTCATAGACACAAATGAATATCCAAGGAGAGAAAAATAAACCTAAAAAGAACTTCTATTGACACAAAAAGCCACAAATCAGATTCATATATTTCTAATAATAAAGAAGTACTAGAAAAAAATAAAGATCAAATTGGAAAATAGCATTTTCTATCACAGAAATATACTAGTAATAAAATAAGATTTTGCCGTCAATATTCTTAAACTTTATCTTAAAAGTACTTTGAATATACTGGGAAAACAGGAATGTTTGCAGTGACTTAATAACTTCTTAAAAGAATATGTATCAGCTATATTTACAGTTTTAATGAATTTTATTAACTTTAAAAATGACACTTAGGGGTTGGAGAGATGGTTCAGTTGTTAAAAAGCACTAGCTGCTCTTACAGGACCAGAATTCGATTCCCAGCACCCACATGGCAACTAACAACCATCCGTGACTCCAGTTCCAGGGGATTCAATGCCTTCTGACTTCCACAGGCACTGCACAACATGGGTACACTTACACACATGCAGGCCATACAGTCCTACACATAAAATAAAAATAATAAACATTTTTCAAAAGGCGACTTAAAGGAATTAGTTTGGTAAGGTATTTACATATGCTGTGGCATTAGAAAAATGTCTGTCTCAAATTTTGAAAAGTCACTAGTATACAGTCTAAATTCATACTGTATTTAACCAATGACAGAAGTACAAACTTGTTCAGGTTCAAGACAGGAGCAAATACTGTACTTCCTGTTAGTTGTGAGATGATAGCTGCATAACAAAAAAAATTTTTTTTTAAAAAAGCAGTATCAGCAAGAA